GGTTCCACTGTAATACGTAGAGAAATCATCGAAAACCATCTGGGTGAAGTCCATATCTATGAACAATAAACTACCACGGCGAACAAATCAAAGGAATGATCTATACGTTTAAGTAGAATTCTAGTTATATTTCCTTTGAATAGTGACTTCCAATTAATACCCTACATATTTTGTAGTATACTTGTCGCTTCATTTAGAAAATCGCGCGCGTGAATTTCGCGTATTTTAAATTTAATTATCCAGCATTTCTTCTCTAAAAAAAATTGTCCTTTCAAGACAACCTCCACCTATTGCACACTACATAAACAATAGGGTGCCTCTGAGCTAATAGCTGCCTGATAGCTGTTCTAAAAAATATTTATCAGCCCGCGAACGAGGTTCAAGGGCTGATATGCAGGTTTTTTTGGAATATAAAATTTCCACCCCGGAAACTGTTACCCATAGGCCATACTTCTTCGTGCTATGTCCTGACTGAAATCCATATTGGATCATCTAATAATAAGGCGCCCGTGGCCCACGGGAGATCAGTACCACATGTGAGGCAGAATCAAAACGGTGGTTGGGCGGTCCACACATAAAATATTGGCCTCAACAACTCAGCTTTGCTGTTTTCAGCGCGACAGAGAGTTGTGGAAATCTTTGATAGCAGTCTAACTCAGTGTGTTTGAGTCTGGTTTTTGTGTGGCTTACACGAAGTGTATAGCCACATTATGGCACGAACTTATTTATTTATTTATTTATTTATTTGTTTGTTTGTATATTTATCTATTTATTTATTCGTCTACTGAAGTCGAGCGCCTGTCACGTGTTCTAGTGTCTACGACGCACCGGTCTGAGTCAGCCATCTTGGTTGTAAGCTTGGTTGTAATTTTTTTCAGGCGATCGTGTCACGAGTTAGTTATCCTCGCACAGGCCAACAGACACAGACCCGGCTTGTGTTGTAAGTGCAGCTAGTGCAAGAGCTTTTACGCTCTTAAACATTTTACTGCTTGAATCTTTGGTATGGGTTGTACTACACTAAAAGGAGTCATTGCACTCTCGCTGTAGAAAACGTATTCAAACGACACTTTCGTAGATAAAGACTCTATTCAAAGACAAAAAAACTCCAGAATACAATTCAAGAACAACGACTTCGCATTAGTTTTGCATTCGTTCCCTTTCAGTTCAGTGTTCGAGGGGGGTCAAATCGTGTAAGTCACGTGACAAGCTCGGTCCCAGTTTTCAACACTCGCAAGCCAACAACAATCGGCTTAATCTATCGGTGCGGGTTGCACCACTGAGTGTCTGAAAGCGTTTTTAAGTGTGTGAAAGTGTCTGAATCTACCTAAAAGTGCCATAAAGTGAAATAAGCTGTATTGTAGTTGCATTCTCCTTGCAACTAAGATTTGGGGGTAGATTGTGGTATATCCAGTATCGGATAAATTTGCGCTTACGGGCAAACTCATAATAAGAACATATGGTCTATAGATACAAGCCGGTTTAGATCGACAAGCAAGTCCCACACGCGATAGGTCAGGGGTCTGCATGAAATTTACGCATCGGTAGCGCAGCTTAGACTGCACTTTTGCCAGTGTTGAAGTGAATGGAATGAGTATTGTCACAGAACTGTATCAGCATTGTACGAGCACTGAAATATCTTAATTAAGCTTATCTGTGGACTGAAATACACCGTATTGGTGAAAGTCGGGATACGCCACTAGATTCCTCTTGGAGAGACCTATCACAATGTTCTTTTTTTAAGTCACACTGCCGGTCATCGGAAAGCTTTTATTTTCAGCTTTTAAACAAAGATTTAGGGGTGGGTTTTGGTTTATCCAGTGTCGGATAAATTTGCGCTAACGGGCAAACTCATAATAAGAACTGCTCGAGGGTTCATTGATAACAGGTATCCTTTAAAACAATAGATTAATTTCCGGTGAAGTAATTAGCGTTGCAAAATGTCCTTAAAGATAATAAGGTGTTGATTTCAGAGAGAAACAATGAGAATACTGTTTGTTGTTTCTCCTGTTTTGGAGTTTGCGTACGTTGTTGATGTGCTTTAGTCATCACGTCTCACTTTATCCGCACAGATGCAAGTTGATTTTGCAGTATCTAAGTTTGTTAAAAGAGTTTACAATTCTGAATTCATATTATTTCACGCTGACGAAAGAAGAAAGATTTATTTAAAATATTGAAGGTAAAATATTTATTTTTAGTAATGTAATGCTTTTTAAACGCTGACGTATAGCATTCGTTTGGATAAGTGATATCTCAATGGTATTTCGCGCCGCGCTATATGTCGCGCATAAGTGAAATATAATCTGGGAGCCCAGTGGTAAATGAAACACTCGCACCAAAAATTCTTCATCTTTGGTTCCGGAGAATGATAAACTTGTCCTTTGTGGTGTTCCATTGCCTTTTCTAGGATCAGCGGAAAGAGTTCATTCGCCATCTTTGGTTTCGTAGAATGACAAACTTATTCTTTGCGGCTGTCTTTTGCAGTTTGTAGGATCCGCGGAGTGCCTTTAATCTCAGCCCTTAAACGAAGATTTTGTCTGTGAATTGTGCCGTTATCGAATATCGGATAAATTTGCGCTCACGGGGAAACTCATAATGTTGAGGCAGAACTTATTGCAATAAACTTTTATGGACACTTTGTTTGTCTAAGCACAGCCAGATAAACAGTAGAATTAGAATTTCGATATAAGAAAATAGCTACAAAAAGGTTTTGGTGAGGAAATAGTCAATGTGACGTGATATTTTAAAATAAGGAATCCTTAGTATCGTCGAAAATTGACACTGTGGATTAAAATATATTGCTGCTTAAATTTCATTTTCCTCCTCACAGAAATACTTTTATAAATTCAAAGCTTATTTATATGTTACGTTAATTTTTAAATAAAAGTTCGTGTTTAAAAGAAGGAAAAAATATAGAACTTATTTTTAAAAAGTATCATATGTCACAAGGAACAAACTTGGATTTACATTTGTCCTGAATTTTAAATTGTGTTCCTTTATTGATGATTCGTATTAGTGTAGCATACCACAAGAAAGCTACTTGATTTGTATTTTTAGAAACCTCTACTGCGTTATTCCTTCCCGCCAAAATTTCTTACCGATAACATAACCACAGCTTCTGTGATTGGCACTTACTTGCGCGGGAGCCTCTGAGCAACAGCCCACCCGGGACATACACAGACTCCCTGTAGAACTACGTCATGCGTGATATCAAAGATGACTCGGCAGACCCCTCTCCAGCAGGGAAAGAATTGCACAACCAAGAAAGACGACCGTGACAAAGATAACTTGATTCGCGCTCAAATGAACAAATCGAGCCTTACGGCAACGACCGCAGTTCACCGAACATCCTCCCATCAGAAACTCTATCTACTTCTGTCTTACAAAAATTGTTTCACTGACCCATATCTGCAAAAGAGGCCCTCATTGGTTACCATCCGTACGAAATGTCCTGGAATTTATGTGTATGTATTTCAACTGAAACCCAATTTAAAAATTCTACGGGATGCTTAACTTAGGATACGACAGATTTAAATAAAATAGTTCTTTGCACTAACTGGTCACATTGTACAAAATGTCCGATATCAGACAACAAGCTAAGCACTGGGACATCCAGTAACAAGCTAAGTTTGACTGGTTATTTAGCTCAGTTTAGGCGGCTATTACATTCCAATATCCAGAATTAACTTTTCAATATAAGTTACGGTAAGTTTAATCCAAACAAACTTATTATCACCTACTTCCAGCTAATATTTTTCCCTTCAGTTTAAATTCAATTACATGTTACAAATCGAATCATAAGCCAAACATGTACGCGTTGCGGACCAATGTTTGCAATATGTCGCTGAATTTTGTCACGAAGTAGCAGTCTGGGGTCACGTAGATTTTTATCTCACTGTTGAATATTTTCTTAAGGCTTGAGGCTCCTTCTGTGAAATTTACGGCTGGTATTGGCAACGCTGTTTTTGGTTTCTATCAGAACCAAAAANCGTTTAATTGTATTTTTAAAAACTTCAACTGCATTAATCCTTCCCGCGAAAATTTCTTACCGATAACATAACCACAGAGATCGTGTAGCTTTTGTGATTGGCACTTACTTGAGCGGGAAAATTGAAACCTCTCAGCAACAGTCCAGCCGGGACATACACAGATTCCCTGTAGAACTACGTCATCCGTGATATCAAAGATGACTCGGCAGACCCCTCTCCAGCAGGGAAAGAATTGCGCGACCAAGAAAGACGACTGTGATAAAGGTAACTTGAGCCGCGCTCAAATGAACAAATCGAGCCTTACGGCAACGACCACAGTCCACCGAACATCCTCCCATCAGAAACTCTACCTACTTCTTTCTTACAAAAATTGTCTCAATACCCATATCTGTAAAAGAACCCCTCATTAACTTCAAATAGGCTACGACAGATTTGAATAAAATAGTTCTTTGCATAAACTGGTCACATTGTACAAAATGTCCGATGCCAGACAATAAGCGAAGCACTGGGACATCCAGTAACAAGCTTAGCTTGACTAGTTATTTAGCTTAGCTTAGGCCGCTATCACATTCCAATATCCAGAATTAACTTTTCAATATAAGTTACGGTAAGTTTAATCCAAACAAACTTATTATCACCTACTTCCAGCCAATATTTTCCCCTTCAGTTTAAATTCAATTACATGTTACAAATCAACTCGTAAGCCACACATGTACGCATTGCGGACAAATTTTTTGGAATATGTCGCGGAATTTTGTCACGAAGTAGCTGTCTGGGGTCACGTAGATTCTTATCTCACCACTGAATATTTTCTTAAGGCTTGAGGCTCCTTCTGTGAAATCTACGGCTGGTATTGGCAACGCTGTTTTTGTTTGTACCGCTATATTTGTTTTCTGTCAGAACCAAAAACGCTCTGCAATGAATTAGGGCTGTCTTTGAAAAATATTTCTACGCTGACGTTATTTTTTTTATCAACCTCAACTTGAGCAACGAACTTTTTTCTATCTGCGTTCGGAAACTGCCCCTCAAAGCGGACCCATGCATTTGCCTTCGCATTGTTTGCTTTCATTTTCGCCTCTGGCGTTTCCGTCCATTTTTGACATTTCTTGCAGGTTTCCATTTTGAATATGTTATATTTGTACAATATAATTATCTTCTTCGAAGAAGAAAAATGGTTGTGATTACGATTGTTACGCAAAAGAACGGAGAAACTGTCTACTTTGACGAGTCAATCCCAAAAGTACATTTCATGAAACTCATATCTTGCGGTTTATTCAATTCCTGGCGCACTCTGAAAAACGAAGGTTTTTGGGAGACGCAAAAAGCATCCATTTGTGTCAATTTCTAAAATCCCCCCAGGGCATTACACTTTAGAGAGCTTGGCAAAAGAAATCGACAGACTGTTCAACAAATATGAATACCATCAATAAGAAACAAAAACAAATCAACCTGTTGGCCAGCTTGTAATCAAACATTTTGGAGTAAAACCAATTACT